ATTATTTCATAATCAGTAATAATATTTCTTTAATATTCTCTTATTTTTTATATTGTTATTCTTATTAAAATTTTATTTTTGTTGTAGGTTTTCGAATTCTTCTTGTTTCACATATATTTTTATAATTTGGTAGGTTGGAAGATTATTTACATCAGTCCATAAAATGTTGGGGGATGTGATGTTAGAGCCATCTATTATATTGTATAGATACTAAAAAGGGTGTGTTCGTTAGATTAATTGGGATAGCCGACGAGAGAGGGTTTTTTATTGGTTCTAAATGTTGTTCGAAGGTTGTTAATAAAGTAAAGTGGTTATTAACTGGGTATAACAAACTAAACAAGTAGTTTTATTTTAGCTCCAATGCATAATACTACACCGGGTATTTTGAATAGTAATCTTGCACTACAAAGGTAGTTTCTGTTTTCATTCTTCAATAATTCACGTATTGATGTTGTTTTTTCTGCTACATTTGGTATAAATCTGGACATGTAGTTAACCATTCCCAAAAATTTTCTCACTTCGGTAGTCCTTTTCGGATTTGGACATTCTTTTATAGCTTTTACACTTTTCGGGTCTGCTCTAATTCCATTTTCATTCACCAAATATCCTAGGTATGTTGTTTCCTTCGTCATGATTTCGCATTAGTTTTTGTTTAAGGTCAATCTTTTTTCTTTCAAAGTCTTCAAAACATTTCTCAACGTTTTGTCGTGTTTGATTTTGCAACAATTAAGATGTCGTTAGCGTGGGCAACAATATTGTCGGATCTTATTTCTTTTACTATGTCGTCTATTGTTTTTTGGAATATTTCTGGAGCTGAACTAATTCCAAACTACTATTTCTAATGGGCTTCTATTTAATAAATATGCTGCGGTACGTATGGCCTCTCTGAATGTTTTAGGTAGACCAGATTCAAAAATCATTGATCTCGTCTTCTCCAGTAATGTACAATTCAATCGTTCCGCCTTGCCATTCAGTTGCGGAGTATGCGCAATTGTAGTGTCCATAATAATACCTTTTCTTTTACACCATTCTATGGTTACTCTATTTCTATATTCACCTCCATTATCGATTCTTATTTTCGATACTCTTAGATTCTTGTAAGCTTCCATTTCTTCCACGTACTCCTTTATACATTCAAACACTTCGTTCTTGTTTTGTATAATATAAACCACCGTATAGTGAGTATAATCGTCAAGAATTGTTAAACAATATTTTTAGTTGTCCCCCGTTATGGGATCTATCGGTCCCACTAGATAAGAGTAAATTATTTCTAAGGGCCTACTAGCTCGTTTTCTTTCACTACTAAAAGGAAATCTTGCAAATCTTGGTTGCTTACTTTTCAGACAAACTTCACAAAAAATGTCATTTACTGTTTTAAAATCGTTTTTATTTATATCAATCCTATATACAGTATGTCCGTAAAGTAACGGATATAGGCGATAAAATCATTGTAAACGGTTTATGGAAAAATCCCTGAAACGGGTCTAAAGATAAGTGTTTAAAAACGTAAAAACTTTAAGCTTTAACTTTTAACATTTCACATTAGAAAAAGATTCTGACATATCAATTCATATAAGTAAATTGGAAAATTTAGCTCATCGTTTAAATACTTTAAAACAACTAATCGACGATAAAATGTTGATGTCAAAAATTTTAACAACTCTTCCAGATAAGTATAAATTTTCTAGAACGGTGTAGTGGTAAAATAAGTTAATATTAAGTATTGATAGTGTAAGCATTGCAATTAATGCAAACTCAGGTGTTTTCGACGCTTGGTATTGCGAATTGAACGTCGAATAATGATATAATTGTCGTCCGAACGTTGAACGCACACCATGTGATTAACCTCAATAAATTCATTGTTCACACTGTCAAAAGTAACTTTTATTTTAAATCCCGACATTACAACGGCTTACTCCGGTGAATGATCGGAACATAACAAACTTAACTTCAAGGCTAATTGCAAAATAAATGATGATGAAAAATGAGGAAAGTATGCTGACAATGAACACAGAAGAGAAAATGATGGAATGGCATAAAAAACTAGGACACGTCGGCATTAAAAGTTTAAAGAAAATGATAAGCAATGAGCTGGTAAAAGGATTTGATATAAATAAAAAAGATTTTAAAACAGTAAATGACATTTTTTGTGAAGTTTGTCTGAAAAGTAAGCAACCAAGATTTCCTTTTAGTAGTGAAAGAAAACGAGCTAGTAGGCCCTTAGAAATAATTCACTCTTACCTAGTGGGACCGATAGATTCCATAACGTGGGACAACTAGAAATATTGTTTAACAATTCTTGACGATTATACTCACTATACGGTGGTTTATATTATACAAAACAAGAACGAAGTGTTTGAATGTATAAAGGAGTATGTGGAAGAAATGGAAACTTACAAGAATCTAAGAGTATCGAAAATAAGAATCGATAATGGAGGTGAATATAGAAATAGAGTAACCATAGAATGGTGTAAAAGAAAAGGTATTATTATGGACACTACAATTGCGCATACTCCGCAACTGAATGGCAAGGCGGAACGATTGAATCGTACATTACTGGAGAAGGCGAGATCAATGATTTTTGAATCTGGTCTACCTAAAACATTCAGAGAGGCCATACGCACCGCAGCATATTTATTAAATAGAAGCCCATTAGAAACAGTAGATAAAACACCTTATGAATTATAGAATCAAAAAAAAACTGATTTGTCAAGATTGCAAATTTTTGGAATTGACGCTTATGCGAAAGTACTGGGTTACCTAAAAAAATTGGATGAGAGAAGTAAGAAGTATAATTTTGTGGGATATGGATGGAACGGTTATAGATTATTTGATGAAGAGAAAAATAAGATTATAGTTTGCCGAGATGTAATATTAAAAAAAAGGGAAGTAATATTTTGAGAAATAGTACAGAAACAATGATAAAAAACATAGAAGAGATTAAAACACACAATAACAAAAACTAGGAAACAAGTTTCGAACAAGAAGAGAAGTAAAATTGCCGAAGAAATTCAAAGATTATGTAATGTTAAGCTATGAAGAAGCAATGAAAGGCCCAAATAAACATGAATGGACACAAGCAATAGAAGAAGAGGAACAGTGTTTAAGCAAAAATGAGGCCTGGGATTATGTAAGCAAAGAAGAAATCGACAACAAAAAGATTTTAGCGAATAAATGGGTGTTCAAAATTCAAGATAACGGCAGGTAGAAGGCAAGGTTAGTTGTAAGAGGTTGTCAACAAAAAAAGGGAATTGACTATGAAGAAGTTTTCAGTCCAGTTGTAAATGTGAGTTCATTGAGGTTATTATAGGCATTATCATTAAAAAACAATTATATAACTAAGAAATTTGATATAAAAACGGCATTCCTGTATGGTATCCTTGATGAGGAAATATACATGACGGTTCCTGAAGGTTACGATGTACCATCAAATCAAGTTTGTAGACTGAGAAAGGCTTTATACGGTCTTAAACAAGCACCACTTAAATAGAATCAACATTTTTCAAACTTCTTAAATAAGAAAGGATTAAAACAAGTGAAGACAGAACAATGTATTTTTGAGAATGACAAAAAGAACTTTATTCATAGCAATCTTTGTGGACGATGGTCTGATAGTGGGAGAAATCGAAATAGAAATAGAAAATTTATTGAATGATTTAGAAAAGAGTTTTGAGATTAAAAAATTTGACGAAGTAACGACTTTCCTGGGAATGGAGATAACAAGAAAACATTACAAACTGAAACTTACTCAGAAAAATTACGTTGAAACAATTCTAGAAAAGTTTGGAATGGAAAAAGCGAAACCAGCGAATACTCCAATGATATGGTATGATGGAAATGAAAATCTTGAAGGAGCTGAAAGATTTCCATACAGAGAGGCAATGGGTAGTCTCTTGTACCTCTCAAATAAAACACGAGCTTATGTGGCGTTTGCGGTTAGACACAGCAGTAGAAAATTAGAAAATCCAACAAAAATGGACGTGAAAAAAACAATGTTAAAAGAATAATGCGATACATCGGATGAGTTTTCGTAAATTTTTTATCTAGAAACTGTTTTAATTCATTATATGTTTTAAAACTTTCCCTTTAAGGGGCTTCGACCGCCACGACAAAGGTATTTCCAACAATACGCGTTAACGGTTTGAAATATCAAAAAAAGTTTCAAACAAAAGTTGTTTAAAAATAGAAAATCTATGCTTCTTCTGCGAGATATTTGATTAATTATTGTTAATTACCGAGATTATTAAGAAGCATTTTTAAAAGGGCTCAGAAGAGGCGTAGATAATTATTAAACGAACACTTTTTCTAAATAAAATTTTTTGATATTTCATAAAATAAAGGAGGAAAATGAGAAATTCCCACGCCAAAATATTGTAATAATTTCCTAATTTTTGTATTAGCCCCGCCCTCAAAGGATTGGGTGGTGTGGCGTACCAGTTTTTGCGAGATCGTGCGTACTCTATCTACCATTGAATCTTTTACGACTTCGTAGAAATACAAATTCATTCTTTAGGAATTAACCGTAAAAGCACAAAATAATATGAAACGAAATATAACTTACCATTTTTTAAAATAGGTATATCGATCCGAATTCTTACGTTTCGTTTTAATAATTTAATTAAGATATGAACGTTAAATAAAAGTAACAAAAATTTGAAGTAAATTCAATTATAGAACTAAAAATTAAAAAAATCCAGAATATAAATTAAATATATTATAATAAATAGTACTCCTACACAGTGTGCACAAATGCAATAATTGTTGAGTTAGATTTTTATTATTGATTAAAATTAATGAAATTTATTTGCATTATTTTTTAACATGAATTATTTTGATACAAATAATCATCCAATGTATACGTTTTCATGTACTTTCATGTTCTTCCTGAAGGCATCTGAAGTATGTTACAACATTTTAACATTAGACTTTTCGGTTTTGAATCAACTGAAGATTATGTATTTAGGAATCTACAATAATTGAATATTTTTATAAATTTTGTAAAACAAAAATAAATATAATCCTCAACGAAATCTTTTACTGTTCTAAATATTTAAGAAATACTTAAATTTATTTCATTTCTTTACCTAAAATATAACTTTGGAATTTTTGTACTAGAGAGACGCAGGTACTGAAATCAGTCCCTTTTTACACACTAACTAAAATGTATTTATTTTATTTCTTTACGTAAGAATATAACTGTTTAATTTTGGTACTAGAGAGACGCAGGTATTGAAACCAACTCGTTTTTACATCCCATAACAAAAAAGGGTTTATTTTACCACTTTGTTTTTCTAAAAGTCAAGAGGTTTTTGAAACATTCCTTCCTCGAGTTGTCTTGGGTGAACAAGGTACACAGAGATTTTCGTTATATTGGTTAAAGTAAAGTTTTGTGAAATTTAGTGTTAATTATTGTTAATTTAGTGTTTACGTGTGTATAGTTATTAGTTATTTAAGTTTGAGATAGTGACTTTTTAAGAGTTATGGGGAAAACAAGAAAACCACCTTCAAAGGTGTTGTCAAAAAAACGAAATTTTTTGAGAAATAAAGCAGGGCACAAGTAAGTACGAATTTTTAACTTCACTTTAAATATTACCCAATTTGACACAATTTAAAAATATTAGTTATCAGATAAAACATGCACTTTTAAACTATTCAAGAATTATTGTGACAAACATGTTATCTATATAAATATTTAATTTTTTTTATTTATTCGTACTTGCAGAAAAAATGTTTCCCATAATGTAACCACAGACCGTTCGTTAGAGGAGATTTCTGTTGATTTAGGGTATGTATATATTACCAAAATTTTAATGAATTATTCACAAAGTCAGTTTTATTTTGTAAAAGATTACAATAAACTTAACATCTATACAACACAATATACTAAAATATAGTATCATAAAAATATAGTTGATTATTTCAAGTAGGAAATTTAAAATTGAGTAAATTTTTTAACAGTCCTAACATCCTGGAAAGACAGTCGACAGATAATATCGAAACAATTGAAAACCCGCAAGAGTGTATCAGCGGACGCAGAATTTTCGATGTAAAATATCTTTTTCATCAAATTTTAAACAATACTGTACATACCCCTTTTAATTGTTCAATAATTAACATGGAGTTAGTAAAGGAGAAAAGGTCTGGACTAATAAGTGTTTTTACATTAAAATGTAAGAACTGTGGTATCGAACAAGAAATATGTAACGATCCAATATCTGACAATACCATTATGGACATAAATAGCGCTACTGTTTTGGCTACAATTTCTACTGGCGCTGGTTATTCTACATTAGAAGAAACACACTCTGTTATGTCCATTCCGCCAATGTCTAATCGCCGATATAACGAAGAACATAAGAAACTTTCCTCTGTTGTAACTAAAACAGCCTGGGCAACAATGATTGAAGCTGGAAAAGAAGAAGCTTCTTTAGCAACACAAGTTGGTGATGTTGACGACGACGGTATACCGTTTATAACAGTAATTGCCGATGGTGGATGGTGCAAAAGGTCCTATAAAACCAATTACAATGCTTTATCAGGAGTGGTAAATATATATTATACAGCGTAATTTAAAGTAGCAAAATTGAAATCAATAGCAAAGTTATATATTTCCGGTTTTGATCGATGTTTTTCGATTCCAATTTGCTGTTAAAAATATGGAAACAGCTTTTTATTGCCGTTAATATTTATTTTAGAAAATTATGTTTAATACAAAAGTTTTGTATTGATCATAGTTTCCTAAAATGAATACTAACGAAAGCAAAAATTAGGTAGGGAAAATTTAGATTTCAATTTTTCTATCTTATTTGGACTCACGTCGATATGTATCGCTTACAAAGTAAACGTAATTTAATTAATTGAATAGGGTTGCATTATCGGTGCCTCAACAGGGAAACTGTTATATTTAGGAATCCGAAATAAGTACTGTTCGGTATGTGCAAGGGCAGAGAGTAGGAGGCAAAATGTGGGGCAACATACATGTTTTAAAAACTGGATCGGTACGTCAACAAGTATGGAAGCCGATATTATTGTGGAAGGTTTTAAAAAAAGTGTGGAGATGCATGGCGTAAGGTTTAACCGTTTGGTGGGTGATGGTGACAGCAGCATCATGAAAAAATTGGTGAAAGCCAGGCCATATGGAAACCGGCCAGTTCATAAAATTGAATGCAGAAACCATTTGCTCAGAAATTATTGCAATAAAATTCGCGAAATAAGTAAAAGGCCACGAAGCAATAGTACCAATAAGCCAGTACCAATTGCAATTCGTCAATCTTTGAAAGCGAATATTTTGCGGTTACGAATTGCAATTATAAAAGCAATGAGACATCGAGCATTGGATTCTAGTGTGGACTTGACAGAAAAAGTAACATTATTAAAAAAGGACATATTAAATAGTCCACATCACATTTTTGGTGACCACGAAAAATGTGAGGCATATTATTGCACAGGTCCAAAACCAAGAGAAAAAAATTTAGTCCCTGATATGACCGAATGTGGTGTTTTTCAAGACTTAAAGTCATGTTTATATAGATTAGAATATTTTGCCTACAGCCTCATCCTCAACATGACGAATAATTCTGCCGAATCATACAATTCAGTTGTATGTAAATTTATTGGTGGCAAAAGAATTAATTTTGGTTTGAGAAATTCGTATGAAATGAGGTGTGAAGCTGCTGGCATATCATACAGTAGTACCGGAAATTATTACGAGCTTTTACACAATGCCTTCAATAAAACAACTTCCACTGTTACCAAAAAATATATTTCGAAGAGGAAGAAAATATTAAACAAACATCGTGATACACCGCGGAAGAAAAAGCGCCTGCCTCCTGCCTTTGCAGACGAAGATTATGGGGAAGAAGAACCTACGAATCCTACAATTACAGATATGCCAGAAGAAAAATTTTCTGATGAATGTATAAAATTTATAAATTGTTTAAAAAAAACTGCCGACGAAATTTCTGTGGTAGAAATATCCACCAGAGGGCAAAGTTCAAATCCCTTGTGGCTAGAGGAACGTCGTAAACGGTTGACAGCGTCAAATTTCGGAAAAATTGTTAAAATGCGCCGGAGTACATCATGTGTAAACACCGTAAAAGCTCTTTTGTACAGCACAACCATTGAATCAAAACCAATTCAAAAGCGGAGTTTTGCAGTAAAACTGGATTGGTTGTTGAAGATTGTGGTTTGTTTATAGGTAACGTTCTGACAACTTACAATATAGTTATATGTAATATTTTGTATAGGTAAGGACGAAGAGTATTTTTTGGCTGCTAGTCCTGACGGTGTTGTGGGCAACGATGCCATAATTAAAATAAAGTGTCCTTATACTGCAAGGGATATGACAGTGGAGGAGGCTATAGAACAAAAAGTAATAGTAGCAACTTATAAAACATTAAAATGTATTTTAATAAGGCCATATTTTGTATACCTTAGAAACTCGATTATGCCTCTCTCACTGAAAGAGGTGAAATAATTCTAAAGGAAAATCATAATTATATGTATCAAGTCCAGAGGCAACTTCATTTAAGTGGACGGGACGTATGCTACTTCATAATATGGACGAAGAAAAATTTCGCCTTTCAAAAGGTACTTAGTGTTATATTACGAAAATGTTATCTGTAAATGATCAATTTGCGTTTTGTAGATCCAAAAACAATCAACATTTTGGGAAAACATGCAAAAAAATTTAAAAACTTTTTATTTCAAATGTGTATTACCTGAATTAGTGGATCCTAGGTTTTCCAGGCCTCCACCTCATAATACAATTCGGAATCCCGATCGAGGAGATTTACTTTAAAAGTGAAGAAAGAATAATTTGTCGCAATTAATTAACAAGAAGTAGAATGAAAGTCCTATTTAATATAAAATCTTATTTATACAAATATGTATAAATAAGATAGTTGAAAGAAAGGTCGTATCTTTTATTTATAGAAATATATGATGTATATTTTTCAAAATTTAGAAGCCACTCTGTAGCCTACGTTCTCTTTTTCAGACTTTTTATTGATAAACCTGCAATTATTGCTGCGCAAACTCCTTGAACACATGATATATTTGAGTCCTAGATCAAAAAGTGGACTACTTATTAAGTAGACAAATAAAATTATCAAAAATTTTGTTCCTAGACCCAATGTGAATACAATAAAATTGTACATACTTATATTACAATACATTGTTTCTTTTCTACTTCGATATTTATTAAGATATTTATTATCTTTACAAAACATATCATTTGTATTTCACTGTTCGGTTTTCTGGTTCACACTTATTCAGCAAACCAACTCTCTATCAAACAGTTCCAATACGAAAATATTGTTTTAAATCAAGTGACGTTTATATACATAAATTAAGTTCAAATAAAATTATTAATGTAATGTTATTAATACATTATTACTAGCTATTATACTATCTATATCTCCCGATTATTATCATTTTGTTATTTAAAAGAAATGGTAAAGCGAAACTCATTCTTTTTTTTCGAAACTCTAATTGATATACATAGAAACAAATGGAATGCTTTTAAGTAAATTTTACTTGCGGGAATAAAAATACTTCTTTTTGAAAACTGTTATTAAAAGTTGATTTTTGCGTAGTACTTAGCGACCGTCAAAACGATAGTTTTTTTGTCAACAGGACGTAAAAGTCTTTTGCGTCCTGGACGTAAAAGAACGTCCGTCTCGAACGATTTTTTTTGCTCGCTAAAGCTTGCAAAAAAAACTTTCGTTCTTGAATGCAAAAGTGTCATTTCGTTATCTTGTATCAAAAATAACTATTTCGGACACTCACTGGAAATTGCCTATATTTCCTTATTACAAATCGTAAAGAAAAGTACCTCATTTCTTTATAGCAACTATTTCTTTATAGCAACCAAATAAACAATTAATTATTTATTAGAATAAATATTAAACGTACAATTATTAAGGTTAGAGAAGCTTATACTTGATGTACACTGTTGTAACTGTAAANAAAGCACAAAATAATATGAAACGAAATATAACTTACCATTTTTTAAAGTAGGTATATCGATCCGAATTCTTACGTTTCGTTTTAATAATTTAATTAAGATATGAACGTTAAATAAAAGTAACAAAAATTTGATGTAAATTCAATTATAGAACTAAAAATTAAAAAAATCCAGAATATAAATTAAATATATTATAATAAATAGTACTCCTATACAGTGTGCACAAATGCAATAATTGTTGAGTTAGATTTTTATTATTGATTAAAATTAATGAAATTTATTTACATGAATTATTTTGATACAAATAATCATCCAATGTACACGTTTTCATGTACTTTCATATTCTTCCTAAGGCATATGAAGTATGGTACAACATTTTAACATTAGACTTTTCTGTTTTGAATCAACTGAAGATTGTCGCTATGTGTTGATTATTCGCCATAGTGTACACACCTGTATATTATGTATTTAGGAATCTACAATAATTGAATATATTTCTAAATTTTGTAAAACAAAAATAAATATAATCCTCAACAAAATCTTTTACTGTTGTAAATATTTAAGAAATACTTAAATTTATTTAATTTCTTTACCTAAGAATATATATAACTTTGGAATTTTTGTACTAGAGAGACGCAGGTACTGAAACCAGTCCCTTTTTACACACTAACTAAAATGTATTTATTTTATTTCTTTACGTAAGAATATTACTGTTTAATTTTGGTATTAGAGAGACGCAGGTATTGAAACCAGCCCGTTTTTACATCCCATAACAAAAAAGGGTTTATTTTACCACTTTGTTTTTCTAAAAGTCAAGAGGTTTTTGAAACATTCCTTCCTCGAGTTGTCTTGGGTGAACAAGGTACACAGAGATTTTCGTTATATTGGTTAAAGTAAAGTTTTGTGAAATTTAGTGTTAATTATTGTTAATTTAGTGTTTACGTGTGTATAGTTATTAGTTATTTAAGTTTGAGATAGTGACTTTTTAAGAGTTATGGGGAAAACAAGAAAACCACCTTCAAAGGTGTTGTCAAAAAAACGAAATTTTTTGAGAAATAAAGCAGGGCTCAAGTAAGTACGAATTTTTAACTCCACTTTAAATATTACCCAATTTGACACAATTTAAAAATATTAGTTATCAGATAAAACATGCACTTTTAAACTATTCAAGAATTATTGTGACAAACATGTTATCTATATAAATATTTAATTTTTTTTATTTATTCGTACTTGCAGAAAAAATGTTTCCCATAATGTAACCACAGACCGTTCGTTAGATGAGATTTCTGTTGATTTAGGGTATGTATATATTACCAAAATTTTAATGAATTATTCACAAAGTCAGTTTTATTTTGTAAAAGATTAGAATAAACTTAACATCTATACAACACAATATACTAAAATATAGTATCATAAAAATATAGTTGATTATTTCAAGTAGGAAATTTAAAATTGAGTAAATTTTTTAACAGTCCTAACATCCTGGAAAGACAGTCGACAGATAATATCGAAACAATTGAAAACCCGCAAGAGTGTATCAGCGGACGCAGAATTTTCGATGTAAAATATCTTTTTCATCAAATTTTAAACAATACTGTACATACCCCTTTTAATTGTTCAATAATTAACATGGAGTTAGTAAAGGAGAAAAGGTCTGGACTAATAAGTGTTTTTACATTAAAATGTAAGAACTGTGGTATCGAACAAGAAATATGTAACGATCCAATATCTGACAATACCATTATGGACATAAATAGCGCTACTGTTTTGGCTACAATTTCTACTGGCGCTGGTTATTCTATATTAGAAGAAACACACTCTGTTATGTCCATTCCGCCAATGTCTAATCGCCGATATAACGAAGAACATAAGAAACTTTCCTCTGTTGTAACTAAAACAGCCTGGGCAACAATGATTGAAGCTGGAAAAGAAGAAGCTTCTTTAGCAACACAAGTTGGTGATGTTGACGACGACGGTATACCGTTTATAACAGTAATTGCCGATGGTGGATGGTGCAAAAGGTCCTATAAAACCAATTACAGTGCTTTATCAGGAGTGGTAGATATATATTATACAGCGTAATTTAAAGTAGCAAAATTGAAATCAATAGCAAAGTTATATATTTCCGGTTTTGATCGATGTTTTTCGATTTCAATTTGCTGTTAAAAATATGGAAACAGCTTTTTATTGCCGTTAATATTTATTTTAGAAAATTATGTTTAATACAAAAGTTTATTATGTAATTTTTATTTACATATGAGTATACTTCAATTTTATTTTTGTTCAATTTTTTTTGAGTTACGTCCGTCAGCGTAATATTTTTTTAATGGCTTCGATTAAACAAAAATTGTGAGAATTGAGAATACGAAGTATTCTCAAATGTAGATAAAAATTACTCAATAAACTTTTGTATTGATCATAGTTTCCTAAAATGAACATTTAAAATGAACTAACGAAAGCAAAAATTAGGTAGGGAAAATTTAGATTTCAATTTTTCTATCTTATTTGGACTCACGTCGATATGTATCGCTTACAAAGTAAACGTAATTTAATTAATTGAACAGGGTTGCATTATCGGTGCCTCAACAGGGAAACTGTTATATTTAGGAATCCGAAATAAGTACTGTTCGGTATGTGCAAGGGCAGAGAGTAGGAGGCAAAATGTGGGGCAACATACATGTTTTAAAAACTGGATCGGTACGTCAACAAGTATGGAAGCCGATATTATTGTGGAAGGTTTTAAAAAAAGTGTGGAGATGCATGGCGTAAGGTTTAACCGTTTGGTGGGTGATGGTGACAGCAGCATCATGAAAAAATTGGTGAAAGCCAGGCCATATGGAAACCGGCCAGTTCATAAAATTGAATGCAGAAACCATTTGCTCAGAAATTATTGCAATAAAATTCGCGAAATAAGTAAAAGGCCACGAAGCAATAGTACCAATAAGCCAGTACCAATTGCAATTCGTCAATCTTTGAAAGCGAATATTTTGCGGTTACGAATTGCAATTATAAAAGCAATGAGACATCGAGCATTGGATTCTAGTGTGGACTTGACAGAAAAAGTAACATTATTAAAAAAGGACATATTAAATAGTCCACATCACATTTTTGGTGACCACGAAAAATGTGAGGCATATTATTGCACAGGTCCAAAACCAAGAGAAAAAAATTTAGTCCCTGATATGACCGAATGTGGTGTTTTTCAAGACTTAAAGTCATGTTTATATAGATTAGAATATTTTGCCTACAGCCTCATCCTCAACATGACGAATAATTCTGCCGAATCATACAATTCAGTTGTATGTAAATTTATTGGTGGCAAAAGAATTAATTTTGGTTTGAGAAATTCGTATGAAATGAGGTGTGAAGCTGCTGGCATATCATACAGTAGTACCGGAAATTATTACGAGCTCTTACACAATGCCTTCAATAAAACAACTTCCACTGTTACCAAAAAATATATTTCGAAGAGGAAGAAAATATTAAACAAACATCGTGATACACCGCGGAAGAAAAAGCGCCTGCCTCCTGCCTTTGCAGACGAAGATTATGGGGAAGAAGAACCTACGAATCCTACAATTACAGATATGCCAGAAGAAAAATTTTCTGATGAATGTATAAAATTTATAAATTGTTTAAAAAAAACTGCCGACGAAATTTCTGTGGTGGAAATATCCACCAGAGGGCAAAGTTCAAATCCCTTGTGGCTAGAGAAACGTCGTAAACGGTTGACAGCGTCAAATTTCGGAAAAATTGTTAAAATGCGCCGGAGTACATCATGTGTAAACACCGTAAAAGCTCTTTTGTACAGCACAACCATTGAATCAAAACCAATTCATTATGGAAGAGAAAGTGAGGCCATCGCAAAAGCGGAGTTTTGCAGTAAAACTGGATTGGTTGTTGAAGATTGTGGTTTGTTTATAGGTAACGTTCTGACAACTTACAATAATATAGTTATGTGTAATATTTTGTTTAGGTAAGGACGAAGAGTATTTTTTGGCTGCTAGTCCTGACGGTCTTGTGGGCAACGATGCCATAATTGAAATAAAGTGTCCTTACACTGCAAGGGATATGACAGTGGAGGAGGCTATAGAACAAAAAGTAATAGTAGCAACTTATAAAACATTAAAATGTATTTTAATAAGGCCATATTTTGTATACCTTAAAAAATCGATTATGCCTCTCTCACTGAAAGAGGTGAAATAATTCTAAAGGAAAATCATAATTATATGTATCAAGTCCAGGGGCAACTTCATTTAAGTGGACGGGACGTATGCTATTTCATAATATGGACGAAGAAAAATTTCGCCTTTCAAAAGGTACTTAGTGTTATATTACGAAAATGTTATCTGTAAATGATCAATTTGCGTTTTGTAGATCCAAAAACAATCAACATTTTGGGAAAACATGCAAAAAAATTTAAAAACTTTTTATTTCAAATGTGTATTACCTGAATTAGTGGATCCTAGGTTTTCCAGGCCTCCACCTCATAATACAATTCGGAATCCCGATCGAGGAGATTTACTTTAAAAGTGAAGAAAGAATAATTTGTCGCAATTAATTAACAAGAAGTAGAATGAAAGTCCTATTTAATATAAAATCTTATTTATACAAATATGTATAAATAAGATAGTTGAAAGAAAGGTCGTATCTTTTATTTATAGAAATATATGATGTATATTTTTCAAAATTTAGAAGCCACTCTGTAGCCTACGTTCTCTTTTTCAGACTTTTTATTGATAAACCTGCAATTATTGCTGCGCAAACTCCTTGAACACATGATATATTTGAGTCCTAGATCAAAAAGTGGACTACTTATTAAGTAGACAAATAAAATTATCAAAAATTTTGTTCCTAGACCCAATGTGAATACAATAAAATTGTACATACTTATATTACAATACATTGTTTCTTTTCTACTTCGATATTTATTAAGATATTTATTATCTTTACAAAACATATCATTTGTATTTCACTGTTCGGTTTTCTGGTTCACACTTATTCAGCAAACCAACTCTCTATCAAACAGTTCCAATACGAAAATATTGTTTTAAATCAAGTGACGTTTATATACATAAATTAAGTTCAAATAAAATTATTAATGTAATGTTATTAATACATTATTACTAGCTATTATACTATCTATATCTCCCGATTATTATCATTTTGTTATTTAAAATAAATGGTAAAGCGAAACCCACTCTTTTTTTTTGCTGAAATTAAATATATGTATTAGCTTTTAATTTGTTTCGTTTATTTATATTTAAAACTCTAATTGATATAGAAACAAATGGTATGCTTTTAAGTAAATTTTACTTGCGGGAATAAAAATACTTTTTAATAACATTTTAAGTCCCTTCCAAACACTAATGACGTTATATCTCCATATCGCGTTAGCCAATAGAAATATAGAATGAAGCGACACGTAGTTTTAGATACAGCCTACTCGACCGTCCTTCGAGCTTCCTCCCCTCACACGGCGATGCCCCTCAGAAACTTTAAGACCGTGATCGAAGTCCCTTAAGGTTTGTTTGTAAAAATCGCGTGGTTTCTGCTCTTAAGCCGACGATACACGTCGCAATCGACTGCTATGGCGGTAACTACGGAGAGGCGTGGTTGGGCGTGGTTTGACTGCTAGCGTCAAATTGACGTGTAAATCGTCAAATTTACGTGATATACCGAAAGTAGAAAATTTTCTAGCCTTCGCTGTAGCTTTGCTCGCAGTCATTACTATGTAATAGACATGTTACACGCAAATTTTGACGGGAACAGTCAAACTACGCTCCTCCGTAGTTGCCGCCATAGCAGTCAATTGCGACGTGTAACGTCGGCTTTAAATGGAGACACAACGAATTTATTTGAATTGTTTCGCTTCGCTTATTTAAGTTTGTCGCGACGCGGTATGTTTCGTAGTGTTAATCCATACTTGCCATTCCTCTTTCATGGAACTGAATTTATTCTTTATGAAAAAATAATTGCGTCTCAGTGTCCTCAATCCTATCCTGGAATTAGTTTACTACTCGGGTACATTAAATTGTAACCATTTTATTAAATTACTTACGTCATGGATGGCGGTTTAATTACTTCCTGTATTTCGTGGAGAAGAAAATGAAAAGTTTCCTTGGAAACACGGAATCTTTTCACGAATTCCACATCTGAATGCATATTTATCTGATTTAAAGGTCCTCCTATTAGTTGTTCGCCTCTTACAGGAAATAACTCGTTTATTTCCTCGAAAATAATTTCTTCATCTCCAACATAAAATTACCCATTCTTAAATCTTACTTGATTATGAAAACATGTGTGAAAACAGGTTAGGTTTCCTCATTTATCTATTAAATACCGACTTATCCCGGACCGAATCCACTGGTTATTGTTGAAGTTATGTTAAAATTTTTAAATACGTCGACACTAGCGCCCTCGCTCCTAACTAACTTGTAACCGTATAACCAGCCATACCTATACGCTGGTATAACCGAAATAAAACCAGTCTGCACAGAACACTCAAGCTGTACGCTGTTTATTTCTTTTACCTTCGATTCAACAGGTTTTGGGCCCAGACCCACATTGTTTGGTTAAGAAATCGCGTTGAGTAGTGCAAGTCTGACCGCGAACTACATTTCCAGTGTGCCGAAATTGTTAGGCAGAAAAAATTACGACGATTTGGGCGTTTGCTGTAGAAATTTTTTTTATTTTAGAAGGTTTGAGCAAGTGCATCGATGGAAAGGAGGAAGGTACAGAAAAAGTTGCGAAAGCAAAAGGGAAGATTATATTAACATTGGATACAGCTTTATTCGTACATATAACAGGTAAAACCGCGAACGAATTATGGACAAAGTTAAAATCCATGTACGATGACTCGGGATTTACACGAAAAATAAGCTTGTTGCGTACGTTAATATCGTTGCGATTAGAAAATTCTGATTCCATGCAAGCATACATAAACCAATTGATCGAAACAGCTCAAAGATTACGTTGTACATGTTTTGAAATTAACGATGAGTGGATTGGATCATTATTGTTGGCGGGTATACCGAAAAAATTTGCCCCTATGATTATGGCAATCGAACACTCTGGAATTGCTATTACAACAGATGCCATTAAGAAGAAGTTATTGGACATGACGGAAGATGGCGGTAATGGTGGAAGAATGGGTCAACCGTTTTGCTAGTTCTAAGTACAAACACAGAGATGGCGGTAGTAGTAAACAAAATAAAAATTATGTCAATGTCAAATGTTATCGCTGTAAACAAGTTGGTCACTTTAAAAATAAATGTCCATTGAACAAAGAAGAAGAAAATAAAAACAAGAATGTATGGAAAGCTCAAGATGAAAAGAATGTATGAAATGCGTTTAGTGTCGTATTTTTAAATGGAAAATTTAACGATACTGAGTGGTATATGATATTTAAATTATTGATTTTTAAATATGTCGACAATAGCGCCCTCACTGTTAACTAACTTGTAACTGTATAACCACAGTATACAGGGTGATTCACATAAGAACCGACATAGAGCAGGGACATGTAGAGGACAATAAATTAAGATGATTTAACGTAACTTACCTCTATACTAAGTTGTACACCTGAGGAGTTATAGGCCTTCAAAGTTGTCTCTTAAATTTTTAAAAAGTTCAATATCTTTGTAATACATTAAGCTAGAAAAACCAAATTTGGTATACGTTATGAGTTTAATTTGCTACCAATTAATACCCTTGGTACATTAATTGGTAGCAAATTAAACTCAATTGAAGCATTTCAAAGGGTTGATTAAGGGTGATGGTACCCTAAATGTTGACAGATTTTTTTAATCTTTTGGCGGATTTAATACATTACTACTTCATTTCATGTGGAATTTAATTCTAAAACTTTTCTTACTCTTATTATTTTTTAAAAAACTTTGTCGTTTTCATAGAAAACTTAAATAATTAAACCCACGTATTTCGGAATGTTGCTTAAAATAAGCGAAAATTCAGTAGTCGGCTATGAAATTGTACGTCAAACTTGACAAGTAGGTTATAAAGTTATTTGACGACAAGGTTTTATAACCTATTTGTCAAGTTTGACGTACAATTTCACAGCCGACTACTGAATTTTCGATGATTTTAAGTAGCATTAACGAAATTCGTGTCTTTAGTTATTTGAGTTTTTTATGAAAACGACAATGTTTTTTAAAAAATAATAAGAGTAGAAGAAGTTTTAGAATTAAATTCCACATGAAATCAGGTAATAATGTGTTAAATCCACGAAAAGGTTAAAAAAATCTGTCAAAATTGAGGGGACCATCACCCGTAATCAACCCTTTCAAATGCCTCAATTGGTCTCAACTTGCTACCAATTAATACCCTCGGTACACTCATAACGTGTACCAAATTTGGTTTTTCTAACTTAATGTATTACGAAGATATTCAAGGTTTTAAAAATTTAAGACCCAACTTTGAAGGCCTATAACTCCTCAGGAGTACAACTTAGTATAGAGATAAGTTGTGTTAAATCGTCTTAATTTATTCTCCTCTACATGTCCCTGTTCTGTGTCGGTTCTTATGTGAATCACCCTGTATACAGGGTGAGTCAGAAAGAATGGGAAATCCGAATACCGGAGACACTAGACACCAAAATATGACGATTTAACCTAACATGTCTTATACAAATGTCGGTGGTTTTTAATACACAGGGTGTTGAAACTTAAATTTTTATTTCGAAATTTCTTGATAATTTTGAAGGTTTTTGTACTATTAACATAAAATTTGGTAGTTAGATGTTTTCGAGCATGAGAAATACGAATTTGATATTTGTTTTGTGATTACTAGTAGAGGGCGCTAGATACACACTGTACGTTTGAGATATCAAGTCATGACTATTTTGTCAGTTGAGGTATGGTGAATTAGAACCAGAAATCTGAAGGAGTTTTCAATTCTGCACAAAAAAGGTACTCTTGCTACATTGTCTAAGTCTACTGGTTTCCAAGTTATCTGGTTTTAATTGTTTCAAACTAATTTTAAGGTTAACATTTAAAATCAATAACACAGTAACTATAGCAATTAGTAACGATAATAATCGATAACAATAACAATTAATTAATAACAATAGAATATTGTGACCATTTTCAAAAATCCAGTAGGCTTAAATCTGGATTTCTCACTATTAAAAAACTCATTATGTCGTGGCATTTTCAAATTGGTAATTACTTTATTGTTGGTAAAAATGATTATTGCACACGGAAATTAGATCAATGTTGACAATTAACAGGCAATTGGTGAAACATAAGCGGAAAAATAACCCAACTTTGCTTATGTTAAAAAATAAATGTTTTAGAAGAAAAAATACATCTAAACATTTAAAAGTAAATAATTCGAAAACCGATAGACTTAGACAATTTCAATATTGTCTTATTATTGGTCGTGATTTATCAAAGGAACAGCGTGTATCTAGCGCCCTCTACGAGCAATAACAAAACAAGTTTCAAATTCGTATTTCTCATGCTCGAAAACATAAAACTACCAAATTTTATGTTAATAGTACAAAAACCTTCAAAATTATCAAGAAATTTCGAAATAAAAATTGAACTTTCAACACCCTGTGTATTAAAAGCCACCGACATTTGTATAAGACATGTTAGGTTAAATCGTCATATTTTGGTGTCTAGTGTCTCCGGTATTCGGATTTCCCATTCTTTCTGACTCACCCTGTATAACAGACAGTACTCTCACTCGGTTTGGCGGGAAGATATGCGCAGCCCTCATTAAGCAGGCGAGCAGCCATTACGCTGGTTTAAATCTTGCTAATCGCCAGTGTGTCTGTGAGGTTTGTTGTTGTGCAGAGCCGTAACGACAAGTGGTAAAGATTAAAATAAAATAACAAACATTATAAATAATGACGTTATTAGTTATATAGTATATAACTCAAATAACTAATGTTTTTATCAGTTCAGAAATTTAATTGCGAGTAACTTTTTTAATTTAATATTTTCGACGTTTTAAATATTTTTTATGCGGACCTGTTGTGTTTTATACCAGCATAATGGCTTCGAGGTCATTGAAAATCAATTCGCCACATCAAACGTGCCGCCACTGAGTGAGAATATTGTCTGTTAGATATACTGTAGTATAACCGAAATAAAACCAGTCTGTACAGAACACTCAAGCTGTACGCTGCTTATTTCTTTTACCCACGATTCAACAGTTATGGTTAAAGCAAA